CCAACTCCAGATGAAATCAAACGATGTTTAGATGGACCATATGAGTTACCTGCTCCATATGATAATCATTATGTTTGTTTTTCTAAAGATTGTGCACCTGGGCCATTCCATGGCATTGTAACTTATGCGCGGAGTAGTAAAGGCAACGAATTGGAAATGCGAGCTCCATTTTTAGGATTTTTAATAAACAAAGATACCGGCCTGTCAACTTTACAATTGGGAATGACAGTAAACATATCATTATCAGCAGAGACAACTCCAGAATATTCAACACCACAAGAATGGTGCTCGGATACAACAGCAACAATTCAATATACATTATCAGAAGGATAAACGATGATGCACAAGGTTTTTGAGATTCGTAATGATAAGTTTTTTACTACTATCTTACTCTATTGTCCGTTTCTTGCTGTTCTGTTGCGAAAAAGCGTTTATTAATTGAAAAAAGATTCGTTAACAAATTGGTTGATCTGATTGAAACAGAATTTGAGGGTGTGAGGAAGAGTATTATATTAAGAAATAACTACGACCGTGGTTTCGACCTTTCTCAAGGGTCAATCTTATATTTGGATAATTGGTGAATAAGCAAAACATCAAATTTTCGTTTCACCCAACCCGAATGGATTGTTTAACCATACCGTGTACTTCAAACTGGCGTAAAAAGCAAATAGTGATGGATTCTAGTTAATGTTATTTTAATCTCTCAATTTAGCAGAATACGGAGTAATTTTATAGTGAATGCAGTGAACATTTCGACGAAAACATCAAATTCGTCCTATTCTTATTTTATCGCATAGTCTATTACCGTGCTTATATATATATTAGAAGAGCTCACGGTGGCAACCGTGTCAAAAATCTATTTTTTCCATTAATTTGCAAGGTTTCTAGCATGCACCGTTGTCAGTTTCTAACTCAAGAACTATAATTATGATGTTTATGGATCTTTCGGCGACGTCAGAAGTATAATCTTTACCTAGTGGTCATTTGTCAAATTCTAAAGCTGATCCGGAATTCTGAATATAAATGTAAGTTATCTTAAACCCTTCCTCAAAATACAATTTTCGATATTTTCGGCAGTAAAAACC